AAAGACAACTCTGCTTTCCATCTGAATTACATTTGCTCACTATTGCTATTTTCCCAAAGCGTGTCTCCTTTGTATGTGCTGCAGGAAGTCTGAGAACAAAATGTCTATCTCTGCAGCATATACAAAGGAGACACGCTTTGCAGGTAGAGTTCTCTTGGGGAATTTTAAGGTGCAGTACACGGGGGGGGAAAGACATCCATTTCAAGCTATAATACCCCACAGTATCCAATGTAGCAGTATTGCTGTGACCTTTAATTTATCAGAGGAAAAAACCCATCTTTTTAGAAAGCAGATTCATGCCGTGCTGTTAGGGGAGAGATTAATCGGTACGTGTTGAATGATTGAAAGTACTTAATCTTCTGCCGAACACACTGAGATGTGCAGACGTTCCTGGGATAACCACCCACCTTGTCAAGCTTTCTCGCTGACCTAGCAGCAGAGCTGGCATTCTAGCCCCATGTTCTGAATGCAGTTAGCCTGAAACCTAGTGATTTTGTTTTCCTTTTGCAGAGTATCATTAGAAAAATATGTGGCAGATGGAAAATCCTGCCTGGTGATACATCCTGGCCCTTTGGTATTGGAACGAGAGCCATGTAACCTCTCATGAAACGTGTCTGGTTGAGCGGGTTACAAAGTCCAGCCCACGCTTGGTTTTGAATCCGTCTCGGTTGGTTTATGGGTTTGCTCCGAAACCACACAGAGCTCAGTGTCTTCAGTTTTCTTCTGGGGTCACTGATCTTTGTTTCAACTCAGTTAAACTTGAGACAGATCAGTATGTGTGGCGTGAAAGAGGACCAGTGTATGAACCCCAATAGAATGAAACCGTGAAGAGTCTCCCATCCTTGGGTTAAAGAGGTGGGACTGAGGTGTATAGCCAGGAAGTGACTAAAAAGCTGGGAAGATGGTAAGTGCAAGGCCTGTCTGCCTCCTGTGCTTTAGCAGACTATCTTATAAAAGCTGGGAAGGACTGTCAAAGTCAGTTTGTGGACTAGCACAGCAAATTTGTAAAAGGAGCTGCCCTCCCCCCCCCCCCCCGAAGATGCTAAAGTCAAGGTTGACTGGGAGCATTTTAAATGCTCATGTATGCACTGTAGAGATGCTCCCCCACCCCAATATGAATAATTAGATCTCCCAAACTTTGTGTGGTTTCAGATCGGCCCCAGTTCAGCCCTGTATGAATTATTTGTGTGTTCCTAGTACCTAGGAGCCCTGTCCTAGGACCAGGCCCATTGTGCTAGCTGCTGTACAAACACAGAGCATGGGAGCATTTTAAATGCTCATGTATGCACTGTAGAGATGCTCCCCCACCCCAATATGAATAATTAGATCTCCCAAACTTTGTGTGGTTTCAGATCGGCCCCAGTTCAGCCCTGTATGAATTATTTGTGTGTTCCTAGTACCTAGGAGCCCTGTCCTAGGACCAGGCCCATTGTGCTAGCTGCTGTACAAACACAGAGCAAACCGAGCTCCTGCCCCAAGCTGCTGCTAACCGCACAGTGGGTCACCAAAGCCTCACAGCTCAGCTGTAGGACTCTGAGACCCAGGGCCTGTTCACTACCACAGCTGTAACTGACACCTCAGTCAACCCCAGCCTGGTTACCATGTGACTGAACACAGCAGGCCACGATTTCCAAAAGTGGCTAGGAACTTTACCTGCTTCTTTTGTTTTCCCCCCCATTTTTTGGGGGGGGAGGGGAAGATGTTTTTAAAGGTTTCAGAGGGTGGCACTTGCTGAAAAGTCCCACCTGTGATGTGCCTCAAACACTGAGGCCCCTGGGAGGAGTAGTCACTCCTGGGAACCTGGGCTGTGGCATAATGTGCTATGGGTCCAGTTAAGGAATCCTGATACAACTAGAATCACCTGAAATCATTGTCTCCATGCTTGCCTTCCCCTTCCTCCCAGGATGGGTCCCTCTCCCTCCTCCCCCTGCCATCTTCAGCAAAGCTGGACTGTCCTGTCGTATTGGCTAGGCTGGAAGGATTGAGGTTTATCCTGCTCGGTCGTTCGAGCTGGTCAAAAATTTTCTGTTGGAACAGTTTTGCTTTGGAAAATGCTGATTCAGTGAAATCAAATTGTTCTTGCAAAATGTATTGGGTGGTGGTAGTTTCCCTGTCAAAAATACTAACTAAATATTTTATTAAGACTTAAGATAGTTTGAGTAAAAATGATTACGATTGAAACAGTAAAAACCCATGTTCAACCTTGATCAAAATGAAATATTTTGGGATATTTTTCAGGGGCGGGGGGAGAGCCAAAGTGGGGCTGTCTACCGTTGCTGTCTATTGTAGCTACTTACTTGGCTCCCGTTCCTGTAGTCTCTGAGCACATCACCACCTTCAGCATACACGTAGGCCAGTGTTTCATAAACTATGTTCCACAGAACACTGGTGTTCTGTGAACAAATTGCAGGTGTGCTGCAACCTCTTCTTTGTTTTTGTCTTTTTTTTTTTTTTTTTTTAAGAAAATTTTCATAGGTGTTCCACATAAAAAATATTATTGTTTGGTGTTCCATGGTCTCAAAAAGATTAAGAAACATTGCTGTAGACCACAGCCCTGGAGATGGACAGTACTGATATCCCCCTGTTGCAGGTGGGGCACTGAGAGAAAGTGACTTGCCCAAGACCTCACTGGCCAGGGTGCAAACATGGGCATGTTATTGAAAAAAGCTTTTGTGTGCAGTTTCGCTGGGTCACGGGATTGTCACAAACATTGCACCAGCCTTGTAAATAGATGTGCTCGATAACGTGACAATATTCATGCATTTCATTCTATAGGATAAAAACACCTGCAAAGTGGGTCATGAAATGGACTGAGTCACCCAAGGCTGAGGGGTAGAGATCTAAGTTTTGGGTTAGCCCATTGTACAGGGAGGGCCTTGCAGGCAATCTGCATTTGCTCAGGGGCTGAGGCAGAGGGGGAGAATCTGCAAGGTGTGTTTGGGTGCCTTTTGATAAGCTCAGACCATCTCTTATAACATGCTTTTAAAAATAGTTCTCCATTCTGACCACATTAATACTCTGGGAAAGTCTCTCAAGACCCTTCTCAGGAATCTGCAAAGTTATTGTAGATTTGCTTACCCAGAAGTCACAGTACATTAGACACATTTCTCCCCCGCCCCTTAAAAAATCTGACTGATTGAACCGTCTCTGTACTATGTGGCTGCTGTCTCCCGTCACACAGACCTGCCTGCCTGCCTGTGACCCACTTACAAGAATCCCCCAAGACATCCCAGTGAAAATCTGGGAACTGATGCAACAAAGCGGCCACCATGGATTTGTTTTCTCAGTTCACCAGTCTGAGCATCGTGGGAGATCGGTGCCAGTGGACATGACGACCATACTTTATCGTGCCACGATGGTGGCCTGGACTCTCACTTTATCTATTTCTTAGCACTTATATCTGTTTAAAGGTGTGCTTAGATCAGGGCTGGGCAACCTATGGCCCAAGGGCTGCATGTGGTCCAGAGGAGTTCTGTGTATGGCCCACGAGACCTTTTGTTTACAATTTCCATCCCCGTGTCTCCCCCCCACACACCAGTATTACTAAAATGACACACACGAAAAGCAAGGGTATGTGAAGGGAGGTGTGTGCTGGTTGCACACAGCATTGACCGTGAGAGCCGTGTGCTCCCTCTGCAGCCAATCAAAGTGCTACTGTGGTTCAGTTGGCACAGCCACAAATTCTAGATACATACGGTCTGGGGGAGGGATAGCTCAGTGGTTTGAGCATTGGCCTGCTAAACCCAGCGTTATGACTTCAATCCTTGAGGAGGCCATTTAGGGATCTGGGGCAAATCTGTCGGATGGTGCTTGGGCCGGCCATGAGGGCAGGGGATTGGACTCGATGACCTCCCAAGGCCCCTTCCAGTTCTGTGAGAGAGGTATATCTCCATATATTATATAAGTGCAGTTAGCAAAATGACCTTATCCTGGGAGACGGTCTTGGTTCTGAGAATCTTGCGGCCTGCTGAGATGGAGGAAGGCCACTGGGAGGTGGTCGTTCCAGGGAGTCTGTGCTGTCGCTGTCTAGGGAACAGCTTGTTGGAGTCTCAGAACTCTCCGTTCTGAGGCAGTGTGTTCTCAAATCCACGTGGAGAGTGTGTCTATCCAGCAGCCGCCTCCTCACCAGCTGCAGGCCTTGTGAAATTCTGCAAGATGAAGACGCCAAACCACCTGGGCGTGCAGGGAGAGAGTTCAGGGTTAGTCACTAGGAGAGGAAGAGGCACCACCTGGAGCCACTGCTGCCTTCCTCACCTCTCCCCTATTGTTGGCTTCTCATAAAGCTTATGGCACCGCACCTCACGAGGGCATAGCCAGCAGCTCATGTGCTGCCCCAGGAAAAGCTGAGCTCCTAGGCAGCTTCCTAAGGTGATTGCTGGGATAGCACTGCAGGAGCCCTGAGACCTCCGGGCAGCACAGTTCTGAAGCATGGATCAACAGGCAGGGCCAGCTCGAGCCATTCCTGTGCCCCAGGCAGCGGGCGTGCAACGCATGCGCGGCTCCGCCCCCGGCACACTGCGCACCTTACAGCTGCCATCGGGCACGCGGCCCCGGGCACACAGCGCCTTATGGCAGCTCTAAGGGGCGCCGGGAGTGCAGCGCCTCTTACAGCCTATGGGGGGCACCCTGGGCAACTGCCCGGCTAGCCCCTCCCTTAATCCGGCCCTGTCCACAGGCACCGACTTTTCCCTGGGGTGCTCTGCTCCTTCCACGAGGCCCCCATCTTTGGTCCACCTTTTCCCTTCCCCAGGCCTCTACTTGCTGGTCTCTGCCCTTCCCCAAGCTCCTCCCTGAGCTGCCAGTCTTGCACAAAACTGCTGCGGCTGTGGTTCTCCAGACCAGTGTCCCCTTGTGCAGCCACTCAGGAGAGATGGCAGTGCCCCAGCTGATTAGCAGTGCACTCACCAGTGCCGCCCAGTTGATTAGCAGTGCACTCACCAGTGCTGCCCAGCTGATTAGCAGTGCACTCACGGGTAGGTGTGTGTTTCAAGGGATGGTGCACATGCACGTGTCTTGGTGCACAGAAACACATTTTTCTGCACATGGATGGAAAAAATGTGCACATGGGTAGAAAAGATTAGAGGGAACATTGCTGCAGACCCAGAGCCCCCACAGAGAGGCACCTAGGCATGGATCTGTTTCTGCTGGGAAAGCTCCTCCCCCAGTCATGTAAGCCCCTGAGACAGCATCAGTGATAGGGTGAGATGACCTGAAACAGGACACCAATTGTGACCCTCCTGTTCCCAATGCATTCAAAAGATGTCACCAATCAAGCCCTTCTGAGTGCTATTCATGCCTCAATCACGCATTTCTCACACTCCCATCACTTCCCTTTTTCCCCCCTCTCTTCCTCCTTGTTGCTTACCGTCTTTGCCAGCCCACTTTATTTTTTATTGTCACTGCTTTTTTCTGTTCTTGTTTTTTCCTTTTCCTTCTCTGCTTCCTTGTTTTTTCTGCTCTCTTGGATTTCCAGTGCTTCACCCTTCAGCCAGACTTGGTTCAAATTCAGATGGCTCCAAAGGTATTTTCAGTGGGTGTCTGATGTGCTTTTTTTAAGTAAGGAGTTTCCTTATTTAAAAGGCTGTCACCTGTGCCTGTGTATATGTGAGGGTGATCTCACAGCAGCCATGGCCATTGCACACCTTATGGGATCAACGTGGTAGCCACACTGGTTAACTCAGCAATGCCATTTTATTTGACCCCCTGGCCCATTAAATCTTGGCCAGAGCACCACACTGCGCTGTGTGCTCAGAGTGGTTCTGAGGGCTGGGGAGGGAGGAGCAGCATGCCATGCTCTGGGCAACGCAGAGGGCTGGCTGCCTCTGGCTCCGCCCCCGCCATTGATGCCCCGCCCCCTCTGGGAACCCTGGAGCTGGTCTCCCCACATGCACCTTGATCAGTGGCCTGTGGAGATTGTTGGCTCCCCTGTGCAGCTGTTACGCTGGTCAGTGACAACATCCAAGCAAATGCTTGAGGCTGCAGAGGATCAGGGCCCTCTGCCTATTCAGGGTTCAGTATCTGCCTCTTGTTTGGTGCAGTAAATCCGAGCCCAAAAGAACTAGGGGCTAAATCGTCAGAGGTGGTGAGCAATTGTAACTCCCCCACCCCTCCCCATTGATGGGAGTTGCAGGGTCTCAGCACTTCAACCTCGGCCCTCTGTGAGCAAACCTCTGCCTTTAGTCCCCCTACTAGCTTGGATATTGCCCCCGGGGTTTGTAACGTGCCCTTGCAGATGGCACTTAAAGGTGAATTTCTTGTGACTGTTGGAGGGAGCAGTTGTGCTTGATGGTAAAAATAATATTGAGAGCAAAGAGTGATGATTCAGTGGGCCAACAAATTCAGCTGCTCATCTGTGCAACGAACTAGGGTTGCCACTTTGGCTTGGGCATATTCCTGGAGGTTTCATTACATGACACAATCTTTAACTTCAGGTTAATCTTGGAGGACTGGGTTCGAGAAGGTGGGAAGGTTGGGGCTCTAGGTGGGCCCCCAGACTCCAACCTGAACTAACTCGCCCTGAATCTTGGAGAGCATGCCCTGTGCCCTGCTAACTCTAAATCCCGTTTCAGTCCAGTCCGATTGCAGCTGTGGGTTCCTTCTCCCAGTTCAGTAAAGCTGTGGGTGCCCAACAGTGGCCTAAGCAAAAACAGTCCAGAAGAACTAGGCTGGAAATAAGGTTGGTGCTATTGACTTCCCTGAAGGGACCAGGGTTGCCTGTTTGTTCGCAATACCTCCAGCCCTGGGACTCTGTGATCTCATAGTTGTCAGCTGCGTGTGGGGGGATAGGAGGGGAGACTTCACTTCTAGAGACGTTCCTCTTTTTGAATGTGTCTCCTCTCTCCCTCTCTTTGTCTCTTCTAGGGAAGGGGACTGGTGGCTGGCACACTCCCTCACGACAGGACAAACCGGCTACATCCCCAGTAACTATGTCGCACCCTCAGACTCCATCCAGGCTGAAGAGTAATTGAAACTTTTTAGACAGTTTAAAGGAACAGTACACGCCGCCTGCCAAGTCTGTTTTATTCCAGACATTTGTGTAGCCTCGGAAAGGCCTTTGTGGGCTTTTTGAGCTTGCCACTCTCTTAAACATTGTGTTGGTTTTCCTGGGCGTGCTCAGTGCCAAATGTCAAGACAAGATATGTTTTCATGCCATATACTGTGATATCCATCTTGAGCAATTGTGAAGAGATGGTCCTGTGTAGTAGATGTGGCCCTAGAAGATCTCATTTCTTTTCAAGCCACATAAGCATTTAGCTGCATATGCAAATATTAACTAGTTTGCATATGCAAATTAGATGGCTGCACGCCAGTAGGCACGTTTGCACCTGCAGTGCCTCTATTTATGCATGCAATTGCACAGGAGGTCTGTGCAAACTAGGCACGTGCAATTTGGCTGCAGTACTAATTTTTATGTAAATCTGCCATGATGGGTTGCACACACCATGCTTGAAGGCTTGGTAGGGCTAATCCCAAGTCTCACAGCCTCCCATTTGCACATAGCTGCAAGCACTCCCATAGCTCCCACTACCCTGTGAAAATAACACACACTTGCTGCTCCACATCTGGGGAGGGATCTTACAGTAACACTGGGCTGGGATGCCTTGACGGACACTTCAATTAGGCAGTCACTTTTCTTTTCTGTGATTTTGGGGGTAGGGTTTTGCAATGTACCTAATTAGATCTTTCCCAAGAGACCCCTGGCCATTGGGGTTTGGGAGCTCCATGGGATGCCTCTGGCTGTTAATGCAGCCCTTGGCTCTAGCAGTCGGAGCTGAGAGGGAGTAGACGTTGGGGCATCACTCGCTACAAGGTGGTAGCAGTAGAAGAGGGTCTAAGTTCAGGGGGATTTCTTTAGGCTGATCTGTTCCTCGCTCTTCCAGGTGGTATTTTGGCAAGATCACTCGCCGGGAGTCAGAGCGGCTGCTGCTCAATTCTGAGACGCCCCGAGGAACGTTCCTGGTCAGGGAGAGTGAAACCACCAAAGGTAAGAGGGTCCCCAGCAGGCCCTTAGCTCCATGACGAGAGCCTCGCAGGCAGGTTAAGTGTTGGAGAACCATCCTTACGTGATGCTGTGGTGGGTGTGTGGAGGCACAAGAGGATGGGGGGGTCAGTCTGCTGGGGCCAGGCATCTCCATGGGCTCGGCGTTTCCTCTCGCAAAGGCGGAATGGGGAGATGCCAGCTGGCATTGCGGAGAGCCCCCCGCCCCAGTGGGAACAGGGGTTCTCTGTGCCCTCAACCCCATATCGTGCCCCCTGTCCTGTGGCTAAAGGGGCAGCCTATCTACAGCATTCCCACAGCCCCTTGTCCTGTACCAACAGATAGAACTGACCCTTCCGGCTTTTAACCCCTTGTGTTTTGAATCTCCTCGCTCAGCCAGCCTGTTTCAATGGGCAGTTCCTTCTACCCTTCCCCTCCCCCCCCCCCCCCCCGGGGGCAAGGTGATTGGCTGAGAGCGGCTGGGATTGACACGTCGGGTGTAAACAGTCTCCGATCTTGTGCTCGCCTTTTTCCCCCTCCGGGAGAACAGCACAAAAACTGGGTCACTCAGCTGGGAATAGCTGGGTAACCAATGGCAACGGGGAACTCTGCAGTTCCCTCCTTCCTGTAATGCCAGGGGCCATTGGGTTCGAGCTGCTTCATGGAGACCGTGTGGGGGTCTGGCTGGGGGGAGGGGCAGTCTAGCTTGTACCCCGGCAGCGGCAGAGAGCCGGAGCGTGAATTACATCCGCTCTGGCTGCTTGTATGTGCTGCGATCTTACCAGCCTTGTTCTGATCCGGGCACGCTCAGTGCAAGCAGCACAATTCCTCTACGGAGTCATGCAGAGACCTACACTTGGGGGTGGGGTAATAAGCTAATGGAACGGGGAGGGAGGGGGAGTTGAATGTTGTGTGTCTGACACTATTAACTGGCTGAGCTCTGACGCGGTCTCCAAGCTGCTTGTGGAAAGCACAGTCCCATGCCCCAACCTCTGTGTGCAGGCATAAGCTGCTGGGAGGGATGGTGAAGTTTGGGCCTGGTAGACACAGGGGCATGTGGAAGCTTACGGAGCCCTGTATGCTTCAGGTTTGGAGCTGGGCACGTGATTCCCAGTTGGCCTGCAGATGCTCGCCGAGCTCTCATTGAGTTAGCGTGCTAGAAATAGTGTCGCTGGGGAAGTATGGACAGCAGCAGGCCTGCTGATGGGACACGGAGGGTATGTCTACACTAGCTCAGTAGTTCGAGCTAGGTGGGCAAACGGGGGCAACTGGAGTCGCAAATGAAGCCTGGGATTTAAATATCCGAGGTGTACCAGTAGTTCAAATTAGAGATCCTAATTCGAACTACCTACTCCATGCTGCGTGTAGCCGCGGGCAGGGAGTTCGGACTAAGGGGGATTTAAAAATGGTGGCTCCCAGGAAGATGCAACTGAAGCCCGGATCATTTGCGACTCCGGTTGCCCTCATTTGCCTACCTAGCTCGAACTACCGAGCTAGTTTAGACATACCCAAAGGGAACAATTGCTTAGGGGCCCAGCCTCAGATGCTGCTGCAGTAGCTCTGCTGAAAAGCATCTCTTGATTCAAAGACTTTCTTTGATATTTCCCAGACAGGTTCCAAGGCTGGGGCCTCGGAACCTGCCTAGGGCATAACAAAAGCATCCTTGAATCCAGAAACACTCCTGCGACTTTCCGTCGAGCAGGCAGGCTGGGTCCAGGGAAGGGAGGGGAGGCGAGGCTCAGTGCGGCTGCCCCGAGGGATGGGATTGGCCAGGGCAGAAATGCTAGAATCCTATCAGAAGCATCTCTCAGGAAGATATGGGTCACAACTGCACTAAAAATAATTGTGTAGACTTGAGCTAGAATTTGGGCAAGGTGGGAATTGCACCAAGTGCAAGTGTAGCTTATGTGCAGGGCCACCAATAGAGCGGGGGCGGGGGGGAAGAGGGCAGTTGCCCCGAGGCCCAGTGATTTAAAAGGACCTAGGGCTCCTGGCTGCCGCCGCCACTACTACAACAGCAGCCAGAGCCCTATGCAGCATGCTCCAGGCACTCCAAAGGGCTGGCAGGAGGAGGCTAGCTCCAGCCCCCTCCCACCTTCTGCCCAATGCTCTGCCCCTTCTTAGAGCATGGATCCGAGCCCCCTCCCACCTTGCCCAGGGGCCTGGCAAGTTTCTCCGCAGCCCTGCCTAAGTGTACCAGAGTCGCTTTCCCTCTTCTGTTGTACACTCATCATTGGGCGGAAGGTGGCACTGGTAATGTGACCTGGTAGTGGCTAAGATCTCGCCAGAGTCTGGGGCTCTGTACCAACACTTAGGAAGGCCATCCCTGCCGACAAGAGCTTAGCATTTAAATAGATTGGACAGAAGAAGGGTGACTATCCCCATTTTGAAGACTAGGAACTGAGGCCCAGGTTGCTGCTAAGAAGACTGTGTTTCTGCAGTTCAGGCCTGGAGCCAGGGCACATGGATTCTCTTCCTAACTTGGCCACTAGCTTGAGTGAGACCTTCCAGTTGCTTTATTGCTCTGCCTGAGTTTCCCCATCTGCACAGATGGCGTTGCACTTCACAAGGGTATTTTTAGGCTTCATGCAGGGTGTGCCAGCTCCCATGATGTTACGAGGGGGGAAGGGGGGAATCAGCCAATATTGCAGGCCTCACAACGAAGTCCCAGCTCCTGGAATCGTAGGATTGTTTAGAAACATTTGGGGGTTTATTAACGCTTCCTGATTGCAAAGAAAAGCTTGAAACCGGGCTCCCTCTCTGCTCCGCCTGCCCCTACAGACTCACGCATCAGAAGGCAAATAATAGACTTTGGGGGGTTTTTTCATTTAAAAAATGTTATGGCTCTCTGGGGGGGAGGCTGACTCATTATTTTTGAACACTTGGGTTGGTCCATCTGTTAATGATTAATGTTAATTTGGGCCCCAAATGTAGGTCTGGGAGCTCCGGAAAACACGTCTTAGACTCAGCATTATCTTTTTTTTTTTTTTTTTTTTTTTATTTAGGGGCTGCGTGAAAATATGAATAAAGCACCAACCTTCCTCTGCAGACTTGCCCCCCACTGAAGTCCAGAATCCAGGGCCCTCCTAAGCTGGAGGGAGGTGGGGTCTGGAGATTCGTGTGGGCCCTTCCTTTGAGAAGCGGATTGGCTTTAAACACAATTTTTAGCCTGTGGGATGTGTCCCTCTTGTTACCCACCTATCTGAGGCCTATAGCAGCACAACGCACGACTGCGTCCTGTCGGAAAGGGGGACACGGATCCCTCGGGGTGCTCTCCCAACCCAGCTAGTCCTCTCTCTGGTAACTGGGATTTGGCTTGCTCCTGCCTCGGCAGAGTCCTCCTTCGTTGCTTTTATTATTGTCTGGAGCCTTTCCCAGTCGTGCATTCATCTTGGCTCCTCTCGTATGGCAGCGTGCCCCGTTGCCAACCCAACCAGCACTAGCAGGCTCCCGAGGTCACGTTCCCCTTTGCCAGCTGTTTCCCCTCTTCCTATTCATAAATCAAACAGGGAGGCACCTTCTTTCCTTTCCTCACAGGGAGGTGAGGGCAGGGCCAGCTGCTCCTAGACATCTCACCAGAACAGTGTGCCTCGCCCTGTGCGTTCTGCTGCAGAGCAGTGTGCCCGTTGAAAGGGAAGTGACTGGCTGGCACCTGCCCTTTGTGTCCCCCTCAATTCCAAGCTGCTCGTTTCATCTTCCTTCCCCTCCACTCTTGTGCCCGGTTGAGGCAGTCCAGTGAAACTGGAACCAAGACGCCCGTGTGAGTGGGTGTGATGCACGTGTGTGATCCTGCAATGTGTGAACTAGCCACCTAGCAGCACTGCAGGCCAGTGTGGAAAGGAGTGAAGGGACGGTATCCAGGAGGAGCTGCAGGGGGAATTCAGGGAGGTGCCATGTACACACTCGAACTAACACTGAGGGTTAATGACCGTGCAGTGGCCTAAAGCCAGGTCTTATGTTTCCTCCATGGCACCTCTGCCAAGCCCCCCAGCACTTCCTAGCATCACTCCAGGACACTGGCCTGGCACAGACAAGGCAGTGAATCACTCACATTGCTGCCTGAGTGTCTCAGTGATTGCTCCATGAAGCTCTCCCAGTATTACTGTGACCCCCACGCTGTTCAGTGGATGATGTTTGATGGCCTCCCTATGTGAGCAAACATAACTGTGGAGGCCTTCACTGGAGCTGACCTTGCCTGCTGCTCTGTACGAAGGAAACAGCGCCTGATCTCCCCACCCCTTCTTCTCTCCTGCCCCCCATGGGCTTGCTGTGAAGTCGCCATCCCATTGCACTGGCATGCCCAGAATCTCTTCCGTGGGCGTGGGATCCAGCTTCCCCGTGGGAGGGCACCGTCAGCAGGGCTGTATCTCCACGCTTTGCAGAGGCAAAGCACCAGGAAGGAAGCGGGGTGGAGCTGGCACAACTAATAGCTGTTTGCATTGGCTCTTCGATTATTCCCTCATTGGCTGCCTTAGGCCTCTTCGGTTCTTCCCCCATCAACCGAGTTACAAGTGCCCCAGCCTCGGCCCTTTCCCCTCCGTTTCCTTCCTGTGAACCTCCGAGGAAGGCGGTATTATAATTGCTCATATCCCCCTGCTCTTGGGGTGTCCCCCTTGCAGACCAGGGCGTCTCCAGCGCAGAAGGACTAAGACGCACCTCTTCTTCCCACAGGTGCCTACTGCCTCTCGGTCTCTGACTTTGACAATGCCAAGGGGCTCAACGTGAAACACTACAAGATCCGCAAGCTGGACAGCGGTGGCTTCTACATCACCTCCCGCACACAGTTCAACAGCCTGCAGCAGCTGGTGGCCTATTACTCCAGTAGGTAGCGTGAGATGGGTATTAGATTGTACAGAATGCAGCTGAGACCCGTTCCCTGCCCTGCGTTCCTTTATGGCCTGTGCACAGTGCAGCAAGGCCTGGAGAGCAGCTCCGGAAACCCAGGGCCCGTGGGTTAGTAATGATGGAGGAGGGGGTATATTGCCCCAAGAACAGGGCTTGAAGGAGGGGAGGAGGACTGCTGGAGAGATGAGGGATGGGTAAGTGTATGGGGAACAGCCTGGTCAAAGCACAGCATTGATGGCGGGAGACATCAGAGGAGAATACCCCGAAGCACACAGCTATAGGTGGGGCCAGGCTACATAAGCCTTGCATGTGAATTGAGACTCTATTGGTCGTCTCCTTGGCAATGGGGTGGGGTGCAGCTCCCTCAGTGGCTGCACTGATGGGACCCTAGCGTAGACAAGACGCCTGCAGTTTCTGATATTTAACCCCACTCGCTCTAGACTTGCCCCAGTGAGGGTTAGACAGGGCTGCTGCCTCTTCTACCTGCTGCGCTAGCCCTTGTCTCCTAAGGAGAAGGCGCATCTCAGCACGGAGGCAGACACGAGATGTTACGGGGGCATTATCAAGGAAGAAAGACAGTGTTCTGCCTCCCCGCTGTAGTGCAAAGAAATTCTCCCTAGAGACATATGGCCCAAATGCTGTAGCAGGCAAGTCGTGGATGGCAAACTCCATTTGGAGTGGAGGGCGTGTTGTCTTCCCAATGCAGTGTCGTACCCTAGGCCAAAGGGTCCCAGGCACCCTTCCCGCTGAAATAAAATGGGGAAGAGTCAAATCATGGGATTTGAAGTGAAAAGGCCGGGGGCTGATGATCGGAACAGACTCTGCAGCGCTGGTGCTGGTAAGACTTGTAGTGAAGATGCTGTGTCTCTAAACGCTTCCCCCCGATGCCTGTCTTTCCCCCTTGCCAGAACATGCTGATGGCTTGTGCCACCGTCTCACAAACGTGTGCCCAACGTCCAAGCCCCAGACACAAGGGCTGGCGAAGGATGCTTGGGAAATCCCCAGGGAGTCTCTGCGCCTGGAGGTGAAGCTGGGACAAGGCTGCTTTGGAGAAGTGTGGATGGGTAAGGATTGCTCCAAAGTCACATGCCGGAGGCTGCGGCAGCAGGTGCTTGGACCGTGAAGTCTCTGCTCTTCTTGACTGGTTTGTGAGCCAGCTGGATTTCTGGCAGCCGGGGCTGGAGGAGAGAATAGGAGTTTTAGCCGTTGTCGTTTCTTGCAGTAACTGAGGAGCCTTCCTTCCTGGCACCCAGGATCCTTCTTTCCTGGCGTGTCCCATCTGGGAGTGGGGGTGCTCACTGAAGTGGCACGTAGCGTCCCCAGTGCTGAAGCTGCTCCCAGGGCGTGCCTGCTCACCACACAGGGCTGGAAGGGAGTAACGTCTACCACCGCAGAGAGCCGTTGAGCGCAGGCCAGGGAGTGCGGCTGTGTCAGAAGCTGGGTGGGGAGCAGTGAAATCGGCAGCTCTCCCTTTGCTAGTCAGGCTCAGGCTCTTAGGGCATCCAGGCACGTGGCAATTCGCAGGCTTGTCCTGAGCGAGGGCTGGTGCAGCCGCATCCCTGCACATCCAGTTGATGGTGTGTCACGGCATAACCCGGCTGTGCCAGGGCGACTGGGTGCCAGGCACAGCACTGTGCTAGATGAGCACCTGTAGAGACAATGCCTAATCCTCAAGCAGCTGCTTCATGCACGGGCTCTGGCTTCATCTCCAGGGACCTGGAATGGCACCACCAGGGTGGCCATAAAGACGCTGAAGCCTGGCACCATGTCTCCGGAGGCATTTCTGCAGGAGGCCCAGGTCATGAAGAAACTGCGTCACGAGAAGCTGGTTCAGCTGTACGCTGTGGTGTCCGAAGAGCCCATTTACATTGTAACCGAGTACATGAGCAAAGGTGAGTGCATGATCCCTGGGGCAGCCCTGGGCTCTGATAGCTGAGAAACTTCATCCTAGTGGAACTAAACCTACTGTGTGAGCAGAGAGCGGCTTTGGGCAAGCTGCACTGGATGCCAGCAGGTGCCGGAAGGAATCTCTCTTAAAACGGATTTGCTCCCGTACGCGGAAAGCCAGATTCCAGTGGGCGGAGGTGGAGGCCTATAATGGACCCAGCCAGCTAAGCAGTCTTACCCATTGCTCCACAGAAAGCGTGCTGGGTGTTTCGCAGAGGCACCTGCCCTTGGCAGTGTGCAGTTTTTGTTAGTGCGAAGAGTTAGGTGGAGGGTTGGGAAACGCTGGGGAACAGAGGGATAAGGAGATTGCCTGCTTGGGAGCTGATGGGAAGGGGCGGGTAGAGTTGCCAGTTCTCCAGGACTGGCCTGGAGTCTCCTGGAATCCGTCTCCTGGTGACGATTGAAAGCAATCTTGGAAATGTTAATAGGATATTTTAAGAAAGTGGCATAAGGTCATGTTGGGGGAAAAAAATCTCCCGGAATAGTGGACAACCCTAGGGGCGGGCGCCGCAGGTTGTGAAGTGAGGAATAACCACGCCCAATTCTGGGCCTTAATCTCCTGCCTCACAATGGTGCAGGCACTCCTGCCCTCTACTGCATGGAACTGGAGCTGCTCCGTGTGTCATAGGCCCCATCCTGCTGGCAGATTGTTCTTTAGCTCAGCAGGCAGGGGTCTGTGTCTTATGGAGCAGGAGGGTTTGGATTCTGTCCCTGCTGCTGCCATGTTCCAACTGGCTGTAACATGCAGCAAAGAAATCCCGGGGGGCTGCCGATTGGTTTAGCACAAGACTCTTCCCCCCGCCCCCTATCATTCCCTCACTCCAAGAGCCGCTGCATGAGGACCCCTCTTTGCTGTTATGCTCAAACACCGTCAAGCCGCCGAGAGTCTGGTGTCTGCTCCTTCCTAACCGCAGCTGATGGCTGTGCCTTTCTGCCCTAGGGAGCTTACTGGATTTCCTGAAGGGGGAGATGGGCAAGTATCTGCGGCTGCCCCAGCTGGTGGACATGGCGGCTCAGGTGGGTCTGGCTGACTGGAGAGCTGCGATTGAAATTTCCCTTTTATCTCCTTGGCCACTGTGGGCAGCCCTTGGGCTTTGGGCCGTGTCAGGCCTGGTCTGGGTGCAGTGTGGGGGTCCAGCTGACAGAGAGGACAGGACAACCAGAGCAGTCTCCACAAGGGCAGTTTGAGGCCAGTGGGATTTTGCTTGCACCCACATGAAATGTCCCCCAGTGTTTGAGGTGCTGCCTCAGACGTCCTTGTCCTCTGCATTTGGGGGTAACGTGGTCCAAAACCAACAGTGCCATGGGGTGGGGCAGAGAGCGGAAGAATCTGGTCAGAAGGGGAGGGCCTCTGTCCCACTTGCCCTTACCTGCTCTCTGTTTCTCTGCCACAGTTGCTCTCAGGTGAGATCTGGGAACGGGACGGTGAGGGTAGAGCTAGAAAGTGCTAGACTTTGGGTCACCTGCCTTTCGGGTTCGGGTTGCTGTTACGGCAACCTCCTCAGTCAAAGGCAATAGCAGTCTGGAGGGTCACAGCACTTGGAGAAGGGAAGGGTCCTGTGCTAGATCCGTTGCCCTGACTCTATGGCTCAGACACAAGGACGACTGTGGCTTTTTGTTCCCAGCTTGGCTCCTGCCACTGGACCGATCCCACCAGGTCTTACTGCCCTGACCTGGCTGCTGTAGAAGAGGCCTCCAAACTATTGGGGCTCTGTAGGAAGAAAATCCTTTATCACTGCCAGGCTTCTGTCTCTTCTCTCCCCGACCGAATCCCCCCACAAACCTGCATTAGCCCGAGGAAGCCTTACAAAATAACTACAAGCCCCTTCCAAGTCCTGTAAGCTGGGTGTGACCCACTTTACCACCTCCCTTCCGCCTCAGTCAGTGCCTCCCATGTTGCTGCTGGTGTGTGGGCCGTTTGCCGTGCCCTGGAGGCAGCTGCACACCACACTGCGGTAAAACAGTGAGGGCTAGTGCTTGGGCGTAGCGTCCTGCCTCTTCTAACCTTCTCTGCGCACTGTCCGGGCGGGCTGCAGATCGCGTCTGGCATGGCCTACGTGGAGAGGATGAACTACGTCCATCGGGACCTCCGAGCTGCCAACATCCTCGTGGGGGAAAACCTGGTGTGCAAGGTGGCCGACTTCGGCTTGGCCCGGCTGATTGAGGACAATGAGTACACGGCCAGGCAAGGTATGGGGAGCGGGACGGGGCACGTAGCTTTTGTGTGCGGGTGCCCGAGGGAGCTGTGGAAAATGGAAAGTAGTGAGGCCTACACTACAGAACCCACATTTCCAAGTGGCTCAGGCTCCTACATTCAAGCCCAGCTCTGGGATGACCCAAAATTGTTACCCTCTAGCAGCTGTTTGTGGGCCTGTCTGGCTTCCTGCAGGCTGGCCCTGGCAGTCTCTGCAGAGGTGCCAAGTATTTAAACGGGGTGGAGACTGAATTCATGCCTTGACCCCGAAGGTGGGGAATAGCCGGTGGGGAACCCTGCACGGCTGCAGCTCAGGCTACACATGTTGGGGGACTCGGCTTCGCAGGGCTCTTGAGCCAGCACTTCTAAGGAGTTTGCAGTCACAGTCCCATGCTCGCTGCTACGTACTCTGTGCTTTGAAACCCGCACTTTGACGCCTGCTCGCCCGCTGCTCCCCATCCTGGTGCCATTGGAAGGTGAAGGGGAGAGGACTTGGGACCCTTGGGGAACTTAATACAGTGCTTGCTTTCCTTGGAAGGAGTGTGGGGGACACAATCGCAGTCACTAGTGCCACTGACTGCAGGTGGGTCAGGCTTTTTTGTAGCCTAGTCGTCTGAACAGAGGTCTGCAAGTCTGGCTGGAGAAACTCCCACCTAGAGTAGCTCTGCACGCACCCCCATGGCAGTGTCACGACCCCTCGGTTCTCCAGGTGTGGGCTTCTCAAGTGGACACGCCGTGTGATGGCATCTGAGACTTGTTTTCTCTCGCTGTTGCTTAGGTGCCAAGTTCCCCATTAAGTGGACAGCCCCAGAAGCTGCTTTGTATGGCAGGTTTACCATCAAGTCAGATGTCTGGTCCTTTGGAATCCTATTGACTGAGCTGACCACAAAGGGCAGAGTGCCATATCCAGGTAAGGCCATGTCGTCACTCGACACTGCTGCAATCGATCTTCCGGAGTTCGATTTAAAGAGTCTAGTTAAGACTTGCTAAATTGAACTTCAGTGCCCCTGCTGGTGGCCGCTACTCCTGCTCTTGCCAGGAGTAAGGGAAGCCGATGAGAGCATTTGCCCCTATTGGCCTCCCACCACGCTTGGCTCATGGGAAGCCGACTCCAGTTACGTATTCTGCGTTGTTTGAGTTGCGTACCTTAAGCTGAGCTACCGGGTCCAGTACAGACCTGGCCTCAGCATAGATGCCCCCTAACCTCCTGGTATCTATAGTGACTATGCAGTCATTGGCCGCGGCAGGATCTGGTATCCGCTTAGGCTGTGGCAGATCCCAGCTGATCGATGGAGCAGTGTATTTGTTAAAGTTGCCATGGTGACTCCTATGCTCATCTTTGCAATGGAGAAACTTGCTGTGGTGTTTCTGCCACTGCTTAGGCATGGGGGCAGATAATGAGGCCTTCCCCATGGTGGGAAAGACTAAGGGGGTGGAAGAAGATGTTCACTGAGCCTTGAGTGAAGCCCCAGACCCGGGGCAGCCCGTGATTATATCATGGTCATTGACGGCCATGCAGGCAGGGGCGCCGGCTGCCACAGCCGGCCTCAGGCCACTCCTGCCCAGACCCCCTGCCTTGGATCAAGTTCTCCCCACGTTCCTGCCGTGGTGGGGTGGGGAGAAACTCGGCATGAGTATGTGGTATATTCAGGGCTGGCGACTTTGTAGCTAGCAGAAGGTCATGACTCAGTTCCTAGGTCTGTCACAGACTAGGTACGTGATCTTAGCCATGTCAGCTAACCCTGGTGTGCCTCTGTTTCCCCATCTGTGAAGTGGGCATGATAATCAGTGACGTCTCGGCACCCTATGAGGTTCATAGCAAAGCCAACATTATAAGCAATCCTTTAGTGGAATGCAAAGTAGGGTTCTAGTTAGGGGACCCATTGGCGGGTCTTCTGTTTTCAGTGCTTTGTGAGCACTCAGGGCCTCCAAAGAGAATTTCAGATGCATATTACAGGCATGAAGGTCCTTGAAATCTTTGTGTAGCTTGGTCCGGGGGTCAGCAAGCCTCTGAGATCTCTCCCGGCACTGAGTGGTATGTCTCACTCTTCCCTCTCTTGGCTATCAGGTATGGTTAACCGGGAAGTGCTGGACCAGGTGGAACGTGGCTACCGGATGCCCTGCCCTCCAGAGTGCCCCGAATCCCTGCACGATCTGATGTGCCAGTGTTGGAGGAAGGACCCAGAGGAGAGGCCCACCTTTGAGTACCTGCAGGCTTTCTTGGAGGACTACTTCACGTCGACAGAGCCCCAGTACCAGCCAGGCGAGAACCTATAGACGTGGGAATGATTCCTGGTGCCAAAGACCTTGCTCTCCTGGTGTGTCCCCGCACATGTCACATAGCACACCGCATCTCAAGAACTCCTTGCAGAGCCTGGTTTTGGGGACTAGCTCTTCTCCCAGAGGATGAGACTGGGTGCCTTTGAGCCCCACAAGGTGGAGGGGGCTAGGTTCTCCTGATCACTAAGTACTGATTTATGGTGTGTGTTTAACAAAGTGCGGCCCTTTGATATGAGATCAGTCGGAGGGGAACTGGCGGTGTGCCATGACTGGAGATTGGAGGAGGAATCTTTCCAGGAGGGAAGGTCTGTGCAGAAGCTGGAGGGGCCTTCAGGCGTCTTCCTTCTAGTGGTTCTGAAGTGCAATGAAAGGAATAGACAACAATGGCCTAGGCTTTCACTGGAGCACTTGGCTTTGCTGGGACTGGACACTAGTGCTACAGATGGACACCTTTCAACCTCAGATCATGCCTCTTCCAGCCTCTCTCTTTCCTTTGAAACCAGCACAAGGTTCCCCCAGTCCTCTCTGCTCCCGGAGCAGAGGGGGCCGCAGTTCGCTACAGCAGCGTTTGTGGTTTTAGACTGAGAGACTCTTCCAGAGAGAGGACGTCCACAGTTCAGTGCGCACGTCACTCGATCACCACCACCCTGTGCTGCTGGGGCAGAGGGTGGTGGCCTTGGGACGCCAGCGCCAGCACCCTGGCCTGGCACATGTGAGTTTGGATCCGGGATGGTGGCTGTGGCCTACAGACCTGGAGGCTGTTGAGGTGATTTTTCTCCCCGTGCAAGACTCCACTGGAGAGCGAGAAAGACTTCGTGGCTGAGTTGCACTTGCAGCTGCATTCGTGTTCAGTGTTGCTGCTCATGGTGCCAATGCCTCCTGACTCATTTTGGGACCGTGTTATATCCTGAGCTGCAGGTTTCTGTCTTCCAGCCTTGTCTCACCCAGCAAAGGGAACCTTGTCATCTTGATGACTACTTCTTAGAGACACACTAAGGCAAATGCCAGTGGGGCAGGATACGCCTCCTTTCTCCTATCCTTGCTGCCTACCCCCTATTGCTTGATGGATATTCTTCAACAAAGTACCCCTGGTCTTCCAGCCAGCACCCTAAGCAGTGCACCGGGAGAATGCCCGGCCAGACCCTCTGTCTCCTCATTCCACTCATTAAGATGCATCTTCGTTTACGCCAAGGATTTTAGTGCTAGAGAAGCAGGGCAACAGTTGTTCTTGGGACACTTGGATGGTCTCCCAGCTTTGCCAGTCAGGAAAGTTGCTGCTTTTTGACTGGCTGGGTTCTTTGTGCCCGGCCAGGACCGTGGTCTGATCCTCTGCAGGCGGCTAAGCTCAGGAGAATCCCAAGACAGCATCCCTCGCTCCATGGGGCCGTGGTTTCAAGAACTACTTGTAGAGGTGAAGTCTCCATTCTGCCTGAGAGCAAAGGGGGCTTTCCTCTCTGTCCTCACTCCCAGAATTTGTCATGAGCAACCAGGGGGCCTCTCCTCAACTCCAGACCCTGCCTTTGGAGTCTCCTGCTTTGGCCCAGCTTCTGAGGCTGTGTCCCTGGGTACAGGTGGGGGTCTGGGAAAAGGCTGCCATGGGGAAGATCACTAATGCAGTGTTCCCCTCAACCCCATGCTTCAGCATAGGGATGTAAGAAAGTAGTTGATGGGAGAATTGAATACTCGCTCTCTCCCGCCCCTCAGCAGGAGGGGGATAGAGGAGGCTGCTGGGAAACAGCCTCTGCCTGTGGCAGGCTGAGGCTTGCTGTGGACAGAGGCTGCTCCGGCAGCAGCCCGTCTGTGGGGGTCCCAGCAGGGGAGCTGGGCCCCCCACAGAAGGGCTGCTGCCACCAAACAGCCTAGGCTGGCCGCCACGAGCAGAAGCTGCTGGACTCAGTGCGAGCCGGAACCGAGCAGTCCCAGCTCGTGCTGGGCTGGGACGCTGCACCTCTGCATTTCAAATGCCCAGTGGCTCTTCCTGCATTTAAAATGCAGAGCTGTGGCGCAGGCGGCTCCTGGAGCTGGCACGAGCCGGGACTGCTCAGTCCTGCCTCAGGCCAGCAGCTGGAGCTGCCCCCGCTGCAGCCCTGCAGAGCGGTCCTTATCGACTAGTCGTGTAGTCAATGTCGTGTGTCGACTACACAATTAGTTGAATCACCGCAATTTAACATCCTTACTTCAACAGCTGGAGCTGAGAGCTTTGGCAGGGTCTTGGTACCTACCCCGTTTGCAGCATGATAGGGTAGGGAAGCAACATCAGTGTGCACTGGTGTCTGGCCTACTTACTTGGCCCTTGCTGCAAATTGGCACTAGACCCCGAATGCAGAAATGATGTACAATCTCTAGTCTAGGCCTCGGTGAGGAAAGGAAAGAGGAAGGGTCTATCTCTGTGAGGTGCTAAGAACCCTCACTTCCTACTGCAATCCTGGGCTGCTTTGATAGCAGTTGACACGCAAGTGGCTGTTTGCATTTTTCATCAGACTCATGAATAAACTGCAGACTTGAGTTTGCAAACTATGCCCAGTGGATGTAAAATCTCGACTGAATCCCTTCTTGCCAGATCTCTCCTCTGCTCTCCTCAGGCAGGGAGGTCTGGTGGAAGGCAGATTCAGATACCAGTTCTAGCCCAAGCTGCTGTCAGTGGGGGTTTTCTGGTGACCCTTACCCTAAAAGAGATGCTAATAGGCCATCTAGAGCCAAGTCAGTCATGGGGCAGGAGAGATTACAGTAGGCAACTCTCCACCTCCTTCGAGCTGGCAGGAGAGCAGGGAGGTGGATGGATTGTATGCAGGGCAATAAGAACCGGGCTGGCCCCGGCACTTGGATTCCTGTCATTAACTGTGCTGTAGGACAACACTGCAAATGGATGACCTGTGTCTCGGAGGCTGGTCCCCAGTGGACAGTGGAGGAAGTCTGCAGAGGGGATGTTTGCCTGGGGATTACTCCCGGCCTTTCAGTGAAAGTGCTAAGCCAAAGGAACACTTGGGATAGACTTGGGTGGTCAGAATGAGAGACAGGGAGGTGGAATAGCAAGTGGTGCCCATGATGGCAGAGTGTTGTTAATGGGTGGGCACTTTGCCGAAGACAGGAGAGAACACACAAGACACCACCCTGCCCACGGCCAAGATAGCTGGCTGGCTGTCAGCCCAAATCTCCAAATGCACCAAGCAAGGTCCCACGTACACAGTCCTTATGGATTTCTTCCTCAGGCCCCATGTGGGATCGGCCAGTGCTTGGAGCAGGACTGAGTGTGCTCGGCCCACCTCTGGAGGGGAGAGCACTCGGGGTGGGGAAGTAGGAGGGGGCTGCTGGACTTGCCCTTTCCTACTCCACACACACAGGCTGGAGATGTTTCCGAGTCTGACCGTTTTCAGTGGCCGATCTTGCTCCTGCCTCCACCTCTGACTGTGACGCCCATGCAGCCACCAAAGCCTGATTTCTCTCCCCTTTCTAGAGAAGTGATGTGGTTCAACTGGAGCCACCTCGCAGCTGTCGGTGGGTAATGCCGTCTGAAAAGGGAAAACGTCTAAGGAGCTGTAAAATAGCCTGGTGTTGTACATAGCCCCGAGTTGCCCGGGTGCTCCCCCGGAGCCCCAGCTGTTAAATTAGTTGCATGTCTTTTTTCCAAGGTAACGCTGGTTTCTGCAAGTGGATGGAACTGGAATTCTTTGCCATTTGCCCCCAAGACTTTTATAGTCCTCACTTGATTTGTCTGTATTTTGGATGCTCTTCTCTGTGCCAAACACCCCAAACCGAACCCTCTTGGCAACTGAGGGACTGTGCTCCAAGCCCAGGGTTTAGCTATCCCGAGCCAGTGCTGTCCTAATTGCTTCCCTTAGGGGGCATCTGACCTGGGGGGGCCTTTGGCTCATGGCTGCGAGTGACTCCTGACCAGCTGTCCCCAGAGCGACAGGCTGGCACCATTGTTCAGACCCATCCGATCTGCGCCAGGCTGGGCTGGGTCTGTCTCAGATGCCCGCTCTTGGTGCAGAGGAGAACCATCTTCTCTGGGGAGTGTTCAGGAGTGCTGGGCAGGCACAAAGCCTTCCCCTGGAGAAATTCCGGCTGGAGGGCGGGAAGCTGGGATTAACCCCACCCCCTAGAAACGCAGGCACCAAAGCCATGGGTGATTGATTCTGATGTGCTTCCCCCGACTGTCCCAGCCTGTGGCCTGGCTCTGGAGCAAAGTGGGGTTTGGTATTTTTCATGCTCCCAGAACTCTCTCCCTGTTGGGATCGTTCTCTGTCGTTAGGGCAATTGAGCCAAACCTCCGCCAGGTGCCAGGCCCTGGAACGGCTCAGCCTCAGGTTGCAGAAAGGTCTTGACAGCAGTGGCTGACTACCGCTCCCTCAGCTGGAGCCAGGGAGGCGCAAGATGTGTCCAGGGCTATCATAGAGAGGACTGACTGCAGATCCACAAGTAGCTGCTTGAGACCTGTGGAGCATTTCTGCAGACAGCACCAATTTTGTACCTGTGAAGGGCTCCGTTGGTAAGAGCCCCTCAGGCAGCTGTGAAGAACTGGTGTGGCTCCTCCATCTGCCCTAGGTGAGGAACCAGGGGACAGGGAACAAGCGGGGGGTGGGGGTGCTGCTTGGCCCAGAGCAGGTGGAAGGTTCACTGCAGCTCCCCACAGCTACCTGTGCAGCTGGGAGCTGCAGCCCCGCTGTGGTAAACTGAGTAGCCCCCTGGCAGTGCTACAGCCCCACCCGCCTGCCAGGCCAGTGTGGAGCCCAGTTGCGGCAGCCCCTCCACCTGTGGGCAGAGGGGGGGACTGCTCAGCCCCAGCTGTTCCCTTGCCCTCCTCCCTTCTACCCCCCCAGGCTTCCCATCTGGCCAAGGGCAGGTGGAAGGTCCCCAACTGCAGGCGGGCTCCCCATAGCTGCCTGTGTGGCTCTCCCCAACTGGGCTCTGGAGGGGCCGTGCCTCGGAGCCTCTGTGGAGAAATTGGCGGAGAACCTTGCAAGCCTGCGCAGAGCTGCATCTGTGGCCGCTGATCGTGGCAGATGATTTTTGCGGATCTGATGCCGATGCACATCTGTGTATCCGTGCAGGGCTCTGTGCCCGTGGGCTCCCTCCGCTGCCATCCGTGCCAAACTCATGTTGGTTCCAGTGGGATCTGACCTTTGGTCCCCTCCAACTTGGCCTGCTCATATTGCAATGCAAGGAACCTAGCCTGGAGGTAGCCTGACCCACACCTAACCCACGCCTGTTATTTACAGATCAGCTTTACCGCACGTTTCTCATCTGCACTGCTGATTTGCCTTTGTGATAAAAATCATTAGGGTCAGAAACCGAGGTGAAGCGAGAATCCAGCCTGGGTTTATAGATGCTCTTTAAAGCTGCCGCTTTCTGAGCTGTTGCAGCCACACTGAAATCCAAGACACAGCTCCCATCGACTGGCCTCAGCTCCTTAGCATAAAACTTTCCCAGTCCAGCGGGGGAGAAGCAGGTGCAGAGGGGTGAGATAATTGGGTCTTCCCAACCTAGCCCCTCAAATGTGGCTGGCAATCTAGCTTTGCTGCCAGTCTCTTCCAAAACAGGGCATGCTGGGAAATGTAGTTCATTTTCTCCCAGAGCAGATTCTTCCATGTAGGCATTTTTTCCTCTAGGAGCTCAGTGAAAATGGGAGTGGTGAAAACACAAACCCAGCCCTGCATCTCACGCTTATTTATTAAAATTGGTTCTCTTTTTTAATTACCTACATATTAAAAACCATCTTGAAAAGACTTCATTTCCCCTGAGCTCCAAGAAAAGTCCCTGCCTTTCTTCATGAGAAGACTGTTAATGTTCTGTATATCCTTTACGTGAATTTTGGACTTAGACCTTTTCGTTTTTCTGCAAAGCATGACAATTACTGTGTCTAGATTTCTGCATTCGTGAGCAGGGACTCTCGTTACCTTTTAAATGTTCTGTGTCTTTTTGCATACATTGAGCAGTTGTGGAGAAATCCTTAATTCCTAGAGAAATCAGGTTCCCCCCCCCTTATTTTTTTGGTAAGATTGCCGATGTGCAGAGAACGTGGTTGGGGGGCGTATTAGATGTGTGTTGTGCCAATGAAGCATGTACAATTTATATAACAGAACTTTAAACATCTACCACCAAGACGAAATCATTGCTTCAGAAACAAAAATAGGCATATGCTGAAGAACACCAGGCTGGAGAGGTGGGGTGGGGCATGAAACAGCTGATGTACATATTCAAATTTTTTCAGTATGTACATTTTTTAAAGAAAGATGGGGCAGGGGAATAGAATGACTTGAATACTGGTTGTTTCCGGTGCTTGTCTGACGTTATGACAGCTGGTGTAGCAATAATGATGACTATTAATAATTGAAGTGACCACAATGTTGCTTTCTTTCCCAATCTTGGGCAAGTCTGAAGAAGAATAGAGCAGGATTCCTTGAATTTTTTTCTTGTCCCATGTTCAGATGAACCCTCCTCCATTGTGCATGCTGTAGTGTGCTAGAACAAGGTGACCCTCCTGTGTGTGGACACGAGGGGACCTAGGTTCTGTTGTGTCTCAGGGCTGGATACTGGTGTTGGAACTGACGAATACCCTGGAGGCAGCAGGATGAAGACTTTCCTCTCTTACTATCGTGGTTGCCAAATTTATTTTTTAAGCCAATAAACTAAACAGGAGTCTCTTAACCTAATGAGTCTGATGCTCTTTGGCATTGATTCAGGGAAATAAATTACACCGCACAAGGTATTCTTCTGCTGTTTTCACTTGTAATGTGTTTTGTAAAGTTGCCGGCTGATGACTATGCAGAGAACATGGTTATCTGCCTCTTCCCTGCTCCTCACCCCCACTGCCTTTTGAGTGTCTAAATATCTAGCCCCCTTTCTCTCCTTTTTTTTTAATAAAACTTTTTGGAAAACCTAAAGTCCCCAGATTTGTGGAGGAGGAGCAAGGGGGGGGGGGGTCTTTGAAACTCCAATATTGGTGTAAATACTTTGAAGTTTGTCTGATTAAACACAAAGACCTCACGGAAAAAAACCCTTCGCATCTTGTGTCTGAATGAAAAGGTCAGCTTTTTGTGTGTGCAGCACTCTGAGCTAGGGCAAGTCATGTCACAAATATAAACGAGGGCTCCTCTCAGCAATACTAGAGTGCCTCTTACAAATCTACAGTCAGGCTTCACGCTAGCACACTTGGGCATACTTGTGATTGATTTCAAGGGAGCTAGGAGGTTTCACACTAGTTGAGTCGCTGGCCTCTGGCCCACTACAACTATCTCTTTAGGGAGCCTCATTTTTCCCCCATCTCCCCACATCCATCAGCCTAAATTTTCAAACTTATCAAGGCAAATATCTGTTTTGAGAAGCACATTCTAGCAGGCATTGTACTACCAAGGCCCATCAGACTATTAGCTCTAGACTGCCTTTTCAACAGCACATCTGTAGCCCAGTGGTGCACAACCCCAAGGGGGTTGCGACTGTCTTCCGGGGGAGGGCGGGGTGTTGCAGTAATGGGAGAGCAGCATTTAAAGGGGCAGCAGGTTTTTTTGTGGTTTTTTTTTTTTTTTTTTCCTCTCAACCAAAATTTTCCCAGAGAACTCTTCCGGTCAGCTCCCCGCAGATGTACTCCTCGGGGACTATGCAGCCTTAGTGAATGCCTTGGCCTTGCTGGAATGGGTTTTTAGAAGGCAGGCAAAAATTAAACTCTGCTGCATCATGTAACTGAGGATCTTGTATAGGGTCATGTGAGCTGAGTCTACTGATGCCAGCTGAGGGTTATTGGGTACAAATTAGGGCTGTCAATTGACCTGTGTTAACACCTGCGATTAACGCAGGTCAGAATGAATGTGTTAATTTTTTTAATGTGTTAATCATGGGCATTAATGCTGCGCTGCCCCTTTGAAGTGCTGCTCCCGTGCTTCAAAGGGGCAGCGCAAGCGGAGCCGGGGATTAGCCACTTCAAATAGCTGATCTCCAGCTCCACTGTTCCAAAGCCCCTTTGAAGCACCAGAGCAGCACTTCAAAGGGGCTTTGCAATGCAAAGCTGGGGGTCAGCTGGAGTCCCCAGCTGATCCCAGGCTCCTTGGAAATGCTGCCGAGGCGCTTCCATGGAGCAGCGCTGCATGGAACCCGGGGTCAGCTGGGGACTCCAGTTGACCCCGGGCTACATGCAGCGCTGCCCCCATTGAAACACGCCATTAATCTCAATTTTTTTAATCGCTTGACTGCCCTAGTACAAATATTAAAGCTGCTGCATCTACTGGCAAACTGTTCCAGCACTCTCCAATTCCTTGGGCTACTGCAGGAAAAAGGAGAGACTGACTAGCACTTCAGCAAACCTTGTTTCTTTTTGTGTCCTCTAAATGTTAATGCAGGTTAGAGCTGGGTTGTCCCATTAGAAGCTGCTTCATCATGGCTATGCAGCCTGCATCTCATCACATTCCTCACTGATTTATTGCTGAGGGTTACGGGGCTGTACTGAAGCTTTGGGAAGAAGACGGAGCTTCAGAGGGGAATCACCCCTCCCCAGCACAGTTGGATGGAGCCAGTTTCCCTTAAACACGTGTGTTCTCCTGCCAGCAGCTCTTGCTGCTTATATTAGCATCTCCTCCTGGCTGCATTACTACTTCAGTGTGTGAGTTCATGCCATCCTGCTGGCCGGGTCACGATGCAGCTGGAGCAATGATGACTGTGCAGCTAGCCTCTGGCTGCTGCTCCCTTAGGGCCCCAAGACAAGTCACATGTTTGTGCAGCTCTGTATTACTTATCTGGCTGTACCAACCTTCGCATCCGGTGGGTTTGTCCTGCCAGATACCAAGATTCACACCAATCTGCCTATCCCCAGGTGCCTCCTTATTTTCCTGTCATGGAAATGAGGGCTGGAGATGAGGTTGACTTGAGAAATAGGGGCCAGTTGTGTTTGCAGCAGTTGGGATCAGGTACTGGTCCAAATAGATGAACTTTGCAATTGACCTCTGTTTGGATGATCTTCAATGTCCACATGCAACGGCTTCGTCGAAGGGACGGAGCAGAGCAGATCAATTTACAGTCAACATACAGAGAACGTAACAGCCTTAATAATCAGACCAAAGATCCAGCTAATCAGTCTTCCACCAGTGGCAAATGGCAAGTGTTCCAGAGGAAGTGACCAGAACAGGTAATCGTCAAAGGATCCATCTCCTGTCCGCCATTCCCAGCTTCTGCCGAACAGTCTATGGCAAGGGTGGGCAAAAGGGCCTCTGCAGGACGGATCTGGCCCACCAAGCAAGTGGATCTGGCCCATGGAGGCCCTGCCGCTTCCCCACCCGCAGCCCCATTAGTTTCCTCTGCCTTGCCAGGAACACACAGAGCTTGGAGGCTCCAGGTGCTCCTGGCAGGGCTGAAGGAGACTTTGCAAGCTCCCCTGCCCCCAATCAGGGCCTGGGGCTGGAGGAGCCTGCTCGAGGCCCTGCCCTGTCCAGTGCAACCCGGGGCCACTTCAGAAATTTTTTAAGTGGCCCCCAGCAAAAAATTATTGCCCGTCCCGGGGCTATGAATACCATTCTGGCCCATCCTGGTCAATAGCCATTGATGGACGTATCCTCCATAAATGTAGCTAATTCTTATTTTGAATTCTGTTATCTTGGCCTTCATAACATCCTCTGGCAAGGAGTTCCATAGGTTGAGTGTTGTCCAGTTCTATGGTATGGAAAAATTACTTCCTTTTATTTTAAATTTGCTGCCTATTTCGCTTGGGGCATGTCTAGACTTGCTTTCACTTTCTAAAGATATGCAAATTAGGCGTAAATTTGCATATCATCTTCCAGTTGCTTTTTCAAAAGAGGTTCTTTCGAAAACGAAAGTCTAGATGTGGTTCTTTTGAGAAACACCCTTTTTCAAAAGAACCATTCTTCCTTTAAAAATGAGGTTTTACGGTTCTTTTGAAAAAGGGGTTTTTTTCCTCAAAAGATCCGCATCTAGCCTTTCTTTTTCAAAAGAACCTCTGTAGTGAAGGATTGATGCATGTGCCCCTGGGACGTACCTGAAGAGCTGGCTTAAGGCCTATGATGGAAGGCATGTCCTGGGCTCCCTGTTTGCTCCCCTACTGCCACCTACTGGCCATGGACCCATCATCAGTAAGGCTGAGATTCTGTGATTGGGAATTTAATAAAAGCCACATACTGTGTGTGGGCAATAAACAATAACTCCTAGAAGCTACGGCAACCAGCCCAACTGCCATTGTCCAGACTTGAAGTTGTGGCGGTCCCATAAAATCACAAGCTGTGACTGTGCTTGTGGTCAGTGCAGGGCAGAGATGTTCATTCTACGCCGTGTGTTCTGGGGCAGACACCGGACGCTTCTGATGCATCAGCTTGTTGCTTCTCAGAAAACCTCCCAAGTCTGCTAAAGAGCTGCAAAGAAAGCGCCCATCTGCCATTTCCCCATTGAGGATGGCTCTATGCGCCCCTCAGCCAAGGGCGGGGCAGGCCTCACGTGTCTGCAAGATTACCCTGTGCCATGATGACTGTGAGAGAATCCATAACATTGCAATAAACTCTGGGATCCAGTTACCTTCTGATAAGATAATGAAGGCAGCGAGCTCTGAGACAGTTGCTCCAGGAGGTGTGTCTGTTACCCAAGGGCCTGGCCTTCCCTTCTGTTTTCCCTTTGTACTGGTGTCCTTTAAAGTTTGTTTTTCTGTGGGACCTGCCCCCACAAGGCTGCACTGTCTGGCCTCACTGGGCAGTCTGCACTGAGACGTGGTTTCACTCTCACCTGCTAGCACAACATCTCGCCTCCGGTTTGGACTACCATGCTTGCTTAGGTCAGCCAGCCTCTGGCTTTAGTCTGTGACAAGGATCCTGTTTCCGGGGTGGGGGGGAGCCTGTATAGACCTTCATCTTCCAGTTGCTTTTTCAAAAGAGGTTCTTTCGAAAACGAAAGTCTAGATGTGGTTCTTTTGAGAAACACCCTTTTTCAAAAGAACCATTCTTCCTTTAAAAATGAGGTTTTACGGTTCTTTTGAAAAAGGGGTTTTTTTCCTCAAAAGATCCGCATCTAGCCTTTCTTTTTCAAAAGAACCTCTGTAGTGAAGGATTGATGCATGTGCCCCTTGGACTACCTGAAGAGCTGGCTTAAGGCCTATGATGGAAGGCATGTCCTGGGCTCCCTGTTTGCTCCCCTACTGCCACCTACTGGCCATGGACCCATCATCAGTAAGGCTGCCGCCTGCGGTCACTGAATGGCTGCCAGCTTTGTTATTTGTTACCTTTTCCTTACCAGTTTTGATATCCCTCCCTCCCCCAAGTGAATTTCAGGCTGGTGAGAGGGGACCTGATTCTGAGACTGTCTCCTGCCACTGAGCTGGGCGACCCCAGGCAGTGGCAACACCACCTCACACTGGCTTTGCCCACTGGCCTACTTCACGTGTCCAGGAGGGATGTCTTCGGGGCCATTTACAAGACAAGAAATCTCGTTTCCACGCAAAGACACAAATGTTGTGGCTCTAGCAAGAGAAACCGCAGCGTGGCTCCTTCCTCACTGGGCAGCAAGGAGTGGGGCTGTTCCTGGAGAGGGATCCAGTCCCTAGGCCCAGGAGAGGCAGGTGCTGAGGGCAGGGGGAGGTCTGTGGCAGGAAGAGAGGCCAGCGGAGCTGGCAGCGATGTCAGTGGAGGGCTGAGGGGAGTTGCTGGTGGGAGCTGGGGAATGACCGACCTCCGCTCCAGCCCTCTCTCATCCCCTCTGCTGTTCTGCAGCCAGGGACAGTAATAAACAATGTAGAATCGACACTGGCTGCCCTTGCCCTCGGCCCAGGCCCAACCTCCCTCAACTCCTGAGCTGAGGGGTTAGGGTTGGGAGGTGGGGAACCCTGGCTCAGCTCCCCTGTGCTCGATGAGAAGGGATCTGAATAGGGGAGTTGCATTCCTCAGCTCTCATTAAAACGGTA